GAAATTCAGGTGAGGCACTTGACAGTGAGGGGAGGGACAGCCTGAGTGGCAGGGCTTTCAAAATGTGTAATTTATTGTGTGAGGAGGCCATCAGGTGGAAGACCATAGCAGGAAATTGGAAGCAAATGTGGAACTTAGAGGAAACGAGGCTAGAGATGAGGCTTTTGGTGTCATCTGTACAACGGAACTGTGTAAACTTGGGGAGTGAATGAAAAGGTGGGGAAAGGCAGATAACAGGGATCCTTGGAATGCATTTAATTTTGGAGACAAGAAGGAAGATAAGGAAGCAGCAAAGGAGACAGAAAGAGAGTAATGACAGGAGGATGGGAATGCCTTAAATTATGCATCATGGAAGACAAGGGAACAGAATCTTGCAGAAAAAAAAGCTGACTTAGCAAACTCTCAGAGAAGCCAGCAAGAATAAAGCTTATTTGGAGTTGTTGATTTGAAGGTTATAAAGATCAAAGGTAGCAATAGAAGGATAAGAGGTGGCCTATCCTTCTACCCTGTTTCCCCAAAAATAAGACAGTGTCTTATATTAATTTTTGCTCCCAAAGATGCGCTAGGTCTTATTTTCAGGGGATGTCTTATTTTTCCATGAAGAAGAATACGGTACATATTTATTGTTAAATGAAAATAAAGGAAATTTATTACCTGTATACAGTACGGTAGTTGTCAACACAAACCAGACAAACTGTGAATCCTACAGTATCAAGAATTTACTCATTTATTCAATGACAATCATGTCATCATCTTCTGGAACATCATCATAAAAATCCAATTCCTGAATTTCCTGGTGAATTTCTTGTGACTCCATTTCTTTCAGAATCAGTGGACCAAATCTCTCATGTTTAGCAATAGCATTCTGAGACAGAGCCTAGGGGTGGCCTTATTTTCGGGGGATCCCTTATATTTCACTCAGAAGGAAACCTGTAAGTAGGTCTTATTTTCGAAGGATGTCTTATTTTCGGGGAAACACGGTATGGGAGGACGGGATCATAGGAGACCAAGCAGCAGGATTGGCCTTCAAGAATCTGACAGTGAGGAAGAGAAGACACTCCTGAAGGAGTAAGCCATGTATGGGAAAGTGCTTTGTTCTGTTCTTAAGATGAAGGGCACCACATAAATCTACTACAGACAGAGATAAAGGAGCCATAGAGAGGGAGGAGTGAAGATGGATAGGCATCCCTGTGGCAGAAATCACAGCAGAAAGAGGTCCTTAGCTGTTTTCTAACCTTTTCAGAAAACAAATGAGAAATCATGAAGCTGCCCCTCTAACAACCTAGGCAGCCATCTCTTAGAGAATAAAGGAAGACCTGTGGAGCGGGCTTTTTTCTTTTCCTCTTCGGGGGAATGCATGAATTGAATCCACAGATTATAGACAGAAAAGGAACCCTTGCTATAGACATTCTCTTTTTGTTAAATTTATTGGGGTGACATTGGTTATATGATCATACTAGAGGCCCTGTGCACAAATTCTATCAGGCTGGGCTGGTAGGGGGGAAGGGCTGCAGGCCATTGACCATCGTCCCCACCTGCAATCAGGGTGAGGGGGCCAATTGGGGGCCAGGCCAGCTAGCGGAGGGACCGAGAGGAGTTGGGGGGGCAATCGGGGCCCCAATCTGGCCAGTTGGCCCCTGCAGTGCATGTCAAAGCGACCAGTCGCTCTTGTTGTTTCCGTTGTTCTGGTAGCTTGGCTTTTATATATATAGATATGTTTCAGATATGGATTTGTATGTTACAAGATCTGTATATTGCACTGTGTGCCCACCACCCAAAGTCAGATCTTTTATCATTACCATATGTTAGAACCTCCTTCACTCCCCACCCCATTTCCTCTGGCAACTACCACACTGCTGTTTGTGTTCACAGTTTCAGTTTTATATCCTACATATGAGTGAAATCATATGGTTCTTAGCTTTTTCATCAAGTCGATCTGCAGATTGCGTACCTTGTAAATATTCCATGTACAGGAGGGGGGAAGACATTTTTATCCTGTTTTTCAAAAAAAGAAATAGTTGAATAGAGTTAAGTACCAATTTATTTCACTCACTCTATGTGAGGCAAAAATCTACCTGTGGGGGAAAATAAGTAGAGAGGCAAAAGCGTTGGCATTAGTTAAAGTTGATGGCTGGTTTTGTCGGCTGTGGGCCTGGGACGGACAACTACCATAAAACATGCAGCAAACAATCTGCTCCATTGTCCTGTCCTTTCCTGTCAAGGGGAGGGAGCGGGTGGCTCTGGACACAGGATGACAGAAAGGAAGAGAGGAAATGGGAAAAGGAGCAGAGACATAAAGAGAGACTCTGTGTTCCCAGTACATATGCAGCCCCCCGCCCGGTCCTCTGTGGGACAGTCTGGGCACCGTGTGTATCCCTGTGTATACAGAAGTGGTCCCCGAGGCCACATCGCTGTCACATTGCTGCATAATCCTCAGCTTAGGAGAACAGTGTTGGAGGTTGTTAGCACATCTCCCTCTGGAAACAAAACTGGGCTCAGCAGCAACAAGGCAATTCCAGGGGGGATCTGTCTCTCCTCCCTCACTTGGATAATGGCTGTTCCCTGTTACCCTCCCTCGCACTACATTGCACACAGTCCTGAACAGTTGGCCTGCTAAGATGATTTTAAAGAGAAGAGAAAGTGGGCTGTTCACTAAGCATATGTAATGTATTCATAATAAATCTCTCAATGAGGAGGTATAAAGATTTCCTGTTTTTATATAGCCAAAGAACAGTCAAAGGAAGCAGAGCATTAGGCAGGTATCCAGCGAGTGTCATTAACAGAAATGACCAATATGGGAAATCCGGGGGGGGGGCTTGCTCCACATTTCTAGTAGTAACAGCATTTTTTTTACCTGAAATATGCTAGTAATTTTGTTGCTTGCAAAATTGGTTTTGCCTAATGATTGGTAAATATATTTTTTCTTAATAGTTACTGGGTATTCTCCATGTTCCAGAGACTACATAAAAATAAAGCATTGCTTACCACCTTTCTTTTTCCTTTTTCACTTTATTTCTGAGAAGATAAAATAATAGAAGATAAAGCCATCCCAAAATGATTTATTTTTAAGAAAATGGCAATAATAAAGCAGAAAACAGTAAAGTTTTGTAAAGTTCTCTCTCTCTCTATATTTTTTTTTGGGGGGGGGGGCAGGGGGGGGGAAGAGAAGGAGGAAAGAGAAAAAGAGAGCAACATCTATGTAAGAGAGACACATCAATTGGTTGCCTCCCATATGTGCCTCTGGGACCAGGAAATGAACCTACTACCCTTCGGTCCACAGGCTGGCACTCTAACCACTGAGCAAAAGTGGTCAGGGCAAGTTCTACATATTATATATGAAATGCATACTTTGAAGTTTAGTAAAACCAATAACGTAAGTGTGAAGTAAGCATTTTAATTTGTTAAAGATAATTTTCACCTTAGAAATATTTCCTCACTAAAGTTAGAAATGTGTCTATCATGATCATTTATACTTTATAACAAAAAGATCATCCCAGGCAGAGAATGGGAACATGCCTCTGATCATTTAGTAGCAGATCCAGCTCATCAATAGATGAGTTGAAATGAAGCCATATAACTAACCCATGTTGAACTTTGCAGAATGTTTATCTCATCTGTCAAGAAATCATTCGTATGTTCTTTTTGATTTAATAAAGTTTTATTCCTCAAAATGTATAGCTAGTAGAACCTGTTGTTCATGCATCTTCACCAACATCTAGGACATACGCACCCTTGTCGTTTCTGGTGTAAATTACTTGAGTTCTGTGCTTTGCAAAGGACTTAGTTTATAAGTCCTTTACTATGGAGCTCCTGGAGGGCTGCCCTGGCCAAGGCACCACAGATAAGCAGTCTCTCAGAGACAGCAGCTGGTTATAAGCTTATAGTTGGAACTTCCTTACAGAGTTTGTCATCGGTTGCTTGGTCAAACAAGACTAGGTTATTGAGCTTGTCCCGAACTTTGCCTTTCGACCACGTCTTCTTTTGTTCTTGCCCCCAGATTTGTTCACTGGGTCTTTGTCCTTCTTTGATAACTTTTCAATATCTTTCTTCGTGTTGTTGTCCTTGAGTGGCATAGTGAACTTGAAGAGCAGCTGCTACCACTGCAGCCTCGATAAGATGTCTCCTATAGACTCATTTTACAGTATTTACAAAATAGTATTTACAAAAGCATAAAAAAAATAGTCAGAATTAGCCGGGACCGGTTTGGCTCAATGGATAGAGCGTCGGCTTGGGGACTGAAGGGACCCGGGTTCGATTCCGGTCAAGGGCATGTACCTTGGTTGCGGGCATATCCCCAGTAGGGGATGTGCAAGAGGCAGCTGATGGATGACTCTCTCATCGATGTTTCTAACTCTCTATCTCTCTCCCTTCCTCTCTGTACAAAATCAATAAAATATATTAAAAAAAATAGTCAGAATTAAAAAAAATAATTCTGCCTTTCCTAGAATTTAGAGCCTAGCCCAGCATTACTGAAATGGACATGGAGTTTTCACACGCACTGTTTCAACGGCTGCGTGAATAAAGTCGGTATGCCACCATTAAGCACTCCTCTATGAGGGACACTCAAGCCACCTCCAGTTTGTCTCTGTTATGAACATTCTCCAGCACACATTTGTTTTTTTCCAAAATTAGTTTATTTCCTCAAAGTAGTTCCCCTGAAATGAAATTACTAGATCAAATACTATGATTATTTTCAAGCTCCTCTTTCCAAGCATATTTCTAAATAGCTTTCCAAAAGGTTGTTTATTAATTTATCTTACACTAGCAATATATGAGGATTATAGTTTTACCTAAGGCTTAATAAGCTGCTAAAGCAACATGACTTTCATTTGTGCTTATTTCATTCCTAGCAAGCACGAACATTTTTTGCAGATATTTGTTTACAATTTTTTGCTGTGCATTTGTCTCCTAATTTTTGTTTGTTTTTCTACCAATTGGCATATTTTTTGCCAGGTCCAGTCTCAACTGTTTTCCTCACCTTTATTCCTTTGTGTGCCTAGGCTCCCATGATTCATTCAGCTACTGGGTCGACGAGAAATCCCCAGTGGGGCCTGACCAAACCCCAGCTATCATGCGCCTTGCCAGGATATCCTTGGTGAAGAAGCTAATGAAGAAATGGTCTGTGACTCAGAACCTGACCTTCCGAGAGCAGCTCGAAGCTGGGATCCGCTACTTTGACCTGCGTGTGTCCTCCAAGCCAGGGGATACCGACCAGGAGATCTACTTCATCCACGGACTTTTTGGTATCAAGGTCTGGGATGGGCTGATGGAGATTGACTCGTTTCTTACACAGCACCCCCGAGAGATTGTCTTCCTGGATTTCAACCACTTCTATGCCATGGATGAGGCCCATCACAAACATCTGGTTCACCGGATACAGGAAGTCTTTGGAAGCAAGCTGTGCTTGGCCTGCAATGTGGAGAGTCTGACCCTGCAGATCCTGTGGGAGAAGAGGTTCCAGGTAGGAGAACTGAGATGAGAGAACAAGGCTGTTTGTGCCTCTTCTGTATCGCCAGCTATAAAATGGCTCATTGCAGGGTCTTAGTTAGAATGCATAGATGGTTTGGAATATTAAAGATATTCACACAAGCTTCTGGGCTCTAGGACAGCTTCAAGGGTTTCTCTGGATGCCCTTAACCTGGATGAACACCTGCCAAATATTTAAAACTTTTTGGCAACCTCTTGGTGGCATCTAAATTGACTTTGAATGGCCTGTCCATAACCAGCCCAAGCAAAGTTGTGAAATGGACCAGTTGGTCATACCATTTTACTTTCTCCCATAAAGCCCACTTTTAACCCCCCTGCTTCCCTTCAGGGGCAGTCCATTCCATCCTGCCTTCAACCCAATGTCAGATCATCCCTGCCAAGTACTGATTGATAAGTGAAAGCATCAGCTGACAAAGGCATGCAAAGTGATCATTTCGGGTGTGTTAATATTTTAAAAGGCCATCTTCGCAGAATTTAGGTCACAGTGGGAAAGAACTAAGGAAGGAAGAGCCCATCAGAGGAATCCAGGCTTGGAGACTAATCCCCAGGTTACTTATGCTGAGGAGAGTCCCCAAACCTAGACCCAGGAGGGATATACCCATGAAAAGGAATGTGGGCCTCAGATATATTCTGCTCTTATCCCCAAAAATAGTAGATCATGGGAAAAAGAGCTCCAGGAATGGTCAGCTTCCAATTTAGACTCTCTTTAAAAAGAAAAAAGAAAAGGAAAAAGTACTTTTGATTCATAATTGCTCACTTGCTCAGAGATACATTAACCAAAATATCTTAAAGAGGCAGATATTTTTTAACTTATAGAAGAGCTTCTAATTAAAAGTCAATTAAAGATTATTCACTTGCAAACACTTTTTGAGCGCCATGTATATGCTAAGTGAGCACCATTCTAAGCACTTGGGATACATTAGTAAATGAAACAAAGATCTTTGTCCCTTAATGGAACTTTCATTCAGGTGGAGGGAGACAGTGCATCGATAGTAAGCATAATAAATACATTCCATATAATGCCAGAGAGTGGGAAGAACCATGTTATAAATATAGCTTTAAAATTGTGAATACAGATAGTGTTCTGGATGGGTTGCCACACCACACACACTAAATTGTTATAGAATCTGTGGGAATAACAGGTGCCTTCAGAAGTAATGAATGGGGCGGACAGTGACTGTCTAGCAACACAGCGATGATCTATCTGAGCTGTTAAGTATGGGCTAATCTGTATCCTCCACTACAGATATCCCTAAAATCATAAAGACCCTGGGGTGACATCTCAGGAAAAGGGAAAGTGTCGTCAATTTGAATTCTAGGCTATCCCTGTCCTCCTTCCTTTCCAAAGTTTTCCCTGACAGGTCTCTCCTTAAAAGCAGAGCCATCAGCCATCCCTCCCTGCTGGGCAGTACCCTACTGGTGGTTAAACTTTAAATATTCATTATGTAATGAGCTGCCTTGCATGTAAGCCCCTCAGTATTTCATTACTACAATTTAATAGCATGAAGTGTATCACCATTCAGTCACATTTCATTTACTCAAAAGCAGTTACATCACCACTCACAGATATATATTTGTACATGAGTGGCTATGGGTTTTCAGGGTATAATGAATTAGAAAATTTAATCTACAGATTGGCAGTATTTAGAATTTTACTGAGAAAGTAAGAATACATAACACTAGCAAAATACAAAATAACCGATATACAATTACAAGATAAAATGGCTTCAAATGTACTATGTGAAGAATGGGGTTTTTTGTAATCAACCAATTAAAAAATAGTACATAGTATAAATCCATATCCCAGGAGCCTCAGAAAGGACCAATCAGAATAAGAGGAGGTCAATGAAGGAATAATTCTCAAAGAAAATGGGATTTTTAAATCTGAATCTCAAGAGAAAAGCTGAATATAATTGCTGAGCTGGATGGAGAGAGTATCTCAGAGAAAAATACATCAGAGTGAGGTGGGGAGGCTGATGCAAACACAGGCCCTAGACAAGAGTTACTGCCCCTGAAAATCTGTAGAATAAAAGTTGATTTGCTAGTCCCTCCTCCTACTGTAAATAGGAACTGGAGAGCATTATACTAAGTGAAATAAGCCAGTTGGAGAAAGATAAATATCACATGATCCACTCATTTATGGATTATGATGAACAATATAAACTGATGAACAAAAACAGATCCATAGACAGAGAAACATCAATCAGACCATTAAACCTCAGAGGAAAGATAGGGGAGGGTGGGGGTAAGATGGAGAGATCAAAGGACTTGTCGGCATGCATATAGGCCTAACCAATGGACACAGACAACAGGGGGGTGAGAGCATGAGTGGGAGAAGGGGGTTGGGAGGTTAATGGGGAGCTAAGAACACTTATGTAATGCCTTAATCAATAAAGAAATTAAAATTAAAAGAAAGAAATTCTCCTTGAACCTTTAGGATCAAATCACTCAAGAAGATTCTTGAAGAAAGGCATAAAATCTCTTTCGTGTAATTTGTACTTTTTGCATCTTTTCCAAGGTTAGGAAAAGAGCAGCACTGTCCTCTCACTCCCTGGCATTTCTTCCAGGGGCAGGCAGCCTGGTCAGTGATCGGAAGGGCCCTGTCCAAGGGTTACACAGCCTGCCTCTCCCGAAGCCCATCCCAGGGGCCAGCTTTTCTCCCTCAGGGACACTGGAGACCCCAGCCTTCCAAACCAGCTAATGACCCCGCCAGCAGGAAATCCTCCCCGATCTCCCAGACAATCTGCTTACAGTGAGCCTGTGATTAACCTTATTAGCACTCCTGTTTACCACAGACAGCATTAGCAGTCAGTCAGACATTACTCATAAACCATTACAAACAAGAACAACCATCAGTCCGTTCAGTGCTCTGGACCTGGCACTCCTACTGGAAGCCCCCAGGAGCAGTTAGCCAGGCACCATGGGTGAGAGATAAAGGCTCACAGGAAACAAAATACACATTCAGAGTCCTGTGTGGGTGCCTAGAGGATTATGCTCTCCGGCCAGCGACTGGAGGATTGCAGTCCAAGGAGTATAAACAGCACGCTGTCTTCCCTCCAGGTGGAAAATATGTTACTTCTAGAAACCTAAGCAGCAGAGCTCTGAATTGGGACAACCAAAATAGCAACTCCCTGTCCCTCAGCTGCGTCTCAGAAACTAATTAATGCTGTCGATGTGGCTTGCTAATTGTTTCAAAATCACCACCATCCTGAGAGGTCCCACTGGAGACCCAGGCCTCCCTGAAGACTCCTTCCCTGCCTTGAGTACCTCCTGCTCCCCCTGGGAAGGGTTATTTCATTCAGAATCAGCGCGCACCGTTGAAAGTCAGCACACAAGTTCATTGTGTTGATTTCAACTCCAAAAGCTCTGTGCCCATTTCATGAGCTTCTGAGTCGTAACTTGTAGTTTCAGGGGTTCTCCACCTGGGTCTGAGGAATATAAGAAGTCTGTGAATTTAACTGAAAAGCGTATGCCCATAGATTAGGGATGCAGTCACCCTCAGAAGTATTGGCCCTGTAACTATGACTTTCTTCCTATAGAAATCACACATATCACCATATCACACATCAGTTATTACAAATATCTTCAAATATCATTATACTCATCATTAATTCAAAATTATGGACCTTATACTTACCATAAAATAATTTTTAATGTATTTATTATGAAACTCATACTTCAGTTTATTACAAATTCAACTAATATATTCATAGCTTTATTTCCATCTTATTGATTTCTTTTGTAATCCTGCCTATTTTATGAGTTTATTTAAATCATAGCCTGAGAAGGGGTTCAGGGTTTTACCATACTTTCAAAATGCTGACAAAAATAAAGTTATGAATCTTTAACTGAGACTTATGCAAATACTTAAATCCTTGCTTATATATATATATATATATATATATATATATATATATTATATAAACCTTGAATTTCCATGTGTTTATATTTGTTTGCCTTTCCTCCTAGCAATTCGAGTTAAGCCAAGGAGTTGATATTCAGTTTGTTCATGGCTTGCTTTGCTTTTTCTGTTTTGGACATCTCAGGTTCTAATTTTCTATCACTGCCCCTTCTACAAGCAATACCCCTTCTTGTGGCCTGGAAAGAAGATCCCGGCGCCCTGGGCAAATACCACCAGTGTGCGCAAGCTGATCCTCTTCTTGGAGACCACTCTGAGTGAGCGTGCCCCACGTGGCGCCTTCCACGTCTCTCAGGCGATTCTCACCCCCAGAGCAAAGACCATCGCCCGGGGCCTGGTCGGTGGCCTCAAGAACACACTGGTTCACAGGTAAGAATTTGCTTCCATGCATATAAGCATAACCAATGGATGCAAAACTCTGGGGAAGGCGGGCATGTATGGGAGTGGAGGGGGCGGGGGATTGGTAAGGTATGTACACATATAATACCTTAATAAAAAAATGAGAGAGAAAAATAAATAAAATAAACAAATTTTAAAAAAAAGAATTTGCTTCCATCCCCAGAGTAAAGTTATTTTTTAAATGTATTTTTATTCTCTTCTGAATAAATAGCAGTAAAACCATATAGTTTGAAGATTTAAAATACTGCAAGAGAAAATATATTATTTTAAAAAACTGTTCATTCGAGGTAGCTTGCATTAACTAAGTCCAAAGGATCTCTAAATACTTTATTAAAATGTACATATTTCACCATAAATACGCTCTAAATTTTGATGCTAAAGTGTAGCCTTTGAAGCCAACACCAGCCTGTTCACTTCTGGCTCGGGGTGTGTCTTGTGCTTGCCCCTGTCCTCTTAGCTGTCCTAAGTACTTGCTTATGAAGCATTAAATGTGACTTCTGTGCTAGGTGCTAGGGATCCAAAGATAACCCTTCAAAGATTTGGGATGTCCTTCCCCTTCCACAGTGACAGTGAGTCCTAAAAAGCAGCTTATGCTGCCACCCACCATGCTATAGCTTTAAATACTTCCATAGAGCAGACTCAATCCTGACTGCAATTAGGCAAGAGAATCTCCAGAAATTTTGTATTAGATTATGTTCTTTATGCTGGACACCAATAAATGGTAAGTATTGTCAAGAAAAAAGATGCTGTCTGTCTGGTGTGGTTCAGTGGTTGAGCATCCACCTATCAACCAGGAGGTCATGGTTCAATTCCTCATCAGGGCACATCCCTGGGTTACAGACACAATTCCCAGTGGGGGCAAGCAGGAAGAAGCTGAACAATGATTCTTTCTCATCATTGATGTTTCTGTCTCTCCCTCTTCTCTTCCTCCCTGAAATCAATAAAAGACCAGCGGGGAGGGGGCTGGATGGGGGGCTGTGAGGGGTGGGGGGAAGGTTGGCTGGCTGGCCCTGCCCCTGATTGGGGTAATGGAGGGTGATCAGGGGTGGGGCTGGCTGGAATGAGGGGCCAGTTCTGCCCCCTGGTTGAAGTCCTGGTTGAACTCCTGGTCAAGGGGACAATTTGCATATTAGCCTTTTATTATATAGAATGTGTGTATGTCTATGTACATGTATATGTGTATGTATGAAGGGACTGTTATAAATATATTTGGATATAGGCTATCCTTTTCAATCCAAGTTGAGGGAGCTAACTTGCTTGGGTTACAAGGGATATTTGCAAAAATCACTTTGGTTCTTGAGTTCCAGGTGGTGAGCATCAGAATTCAGACAGTGAATGTTCCTATTTGTCTATTTGGCTCTGAGTCTGGGTAGCATGCCTTCAGGCAGCAGTTCACCTGACACGAGTGTGGATAGCGAGGAACACCTGGACTTCTCTTTCTCAGTGGCAGCTCCTGGTGACATGGCCATGTCAATACCAGAAACCTCTTTTTGTGGGGCTCTACTGAGTCTGGACTGAATTACTTAAGCTGAATTTGGAAAAGCATTTTATAAACCAGCGAATATCTCTGAAAGATCCAGAACTATGAACTTTCTTTTTCTATAATTAATTTTCACGTATTCATACCATTTTCACCATGCCTTTGGTAAATTTGTAGACAAACATTACTTACTTATTTATTTATTTGTTTGTTTGTTTAACAATGACGGAGAACCTAGGAGTAGCTAGGTCCACAGATACCAGATGAATAATGCAGTCTCTGCCCTTGTGGAACTTACAGTCCATCAGAACAAATAAACATACAAATTTCTATCAAACAACATGAATATCACTATTAATGAGGAGAGGGCATATTTAAAAATAAGGACAAGTTACATCTGTATACTGTGGTCTGAATATACAATACCCTCTTGCAGATGACTTCGTTTCATTATTAAATCCAACCAGCCTCTAGGAGGGCACAATGTCGGGCACAAGATCATCCCCATTTCAGATGGGGCTCAGTAAGGTTCCGTGGCCAGGACCTATGTAACTGGTAAGAGGCAATAACACATCTCAACTGGGGACTTTGTATTGTTGGACTGTAGCCCTTTTCAGTGTTCAGCACTGACTTGATGTAGATGTTTCAGAGTCCCGTTGTTCTTTTCTGCTCCCCTGGCCTGTGATTGTGTTAACTAGCACCCAAATCTGGTCAGATCTTACTGGTTACAACTACCAACCCACAGAGTCACAATGCTTTCATACTCATAAATTCCTAGGATTATAATCTGGCTGCAAATGAAGCACACGGCTCTGTGACTTAGTGCTAACGATGGCGGCCTGTGCCCAAAGCCGAGGCACCCTAGCATGCCAGAGCCCTTGCCTGCTGGTGGCGAGCAGATGTCTCCAAGGCAGAAACATGCGTGGGCATCTCCACTCCATCTGGTCACAAGAATATTGCAGGGATACACCCTGCATTCCCAGGCCCCACATCATCTGAAGGAAGAAGTTCAGCTGTGGTCACGCGTTTGTCCCCTAACACTTTCACGACCCGTGGCTGGCATTTCCTCTGGGCTGTGGGACAAGCCTAGGAAAGAAGCAGTTGGCCCAGAGCCTGCCCCTGAGTGCGACACTGGAAAGTCAGTCCTAACTAAGGCACACAGGAGTATGTCAGACTGGTCCTGGGCACAGGCCATCAGCTTAGCCAAGAGGAAGATGACGAGGCATATTGTCTTACAAATGTAGAGGAGGTAGTCTCAGCAGAGAATTAACTGCCCACCCCCACCCCCACCCCGAATTGTTAAGTGAATTTCAGTCCTAAGATCCCATTTCCTTGGTTCATTACTCTAAAAGGAAGCTAAGAATAGAATTTCAACTGAATTTCTATGATAGTTTTCCCTAGATTATTAGACACCTTACACTTCCACCTAAATGAACTGAAAGGAAATCTTGCCTATGCCTGAGGACAGAACAGCCATGGGACTGTGGACAGGAACAAGGGCTGAAAGCAGAGGCCTCAGGTTCAAGCCTGACATGATGCCCTGAATCATGTTCCCTGAAAAATCAGTGCTGAAGCCCCAATAGCTATGATGTGACTATATTTGGAGACGGGCCTTTAAAGAGGTGATTAAGTTAAAATTAGGTCAGTTAGAGAGGGATCTAATTCAGTCTGACTGCTGCTTTTATAAGAAGGGGAAATTTGGACACACAGAGAAACATCAGGGATGTGGGCAGGAGGGAAAAGGCCATGTGAGGACACAGGGAGAAGGGAGCCATCTGCAAGCCAGGGAGAGAGGCCTCAGAAGAAACCAAACCTGCCAACACTTTGACCTTGGACTTCCAGCCCCCAGACTATGAGAACATGAATTTCTGTTGTTTAATGCCACCCAGTCTGAGTCATTTTCTTATGGCAGCCCTAGCAAACTAATGTAGACCCTTAACAACAAAGAGGGTTTTGACAGGTTTGCTGAGGTTTCCTCACCAGTTAAATGGGGTTAATAATACCTTATAATATTGTAGAGTCTTAATATGGAAATGCCTACTAGAGTGCCTAGCACAAAATAGGGGCGTCATCCTATTGGCAGGCAGATGCCTCCCTGTCTAAGGAGACCCAGAAACACAGTGCAGTGGGCCTCAAAGTCAAAAGGAAGTTTCTAACCTCCCTTTGGTGCCCATAGTCAACAGTACCTGACTCAGCCTTCTCCACTGATCTCTCATCTTGGTAAATGTCAGGAGTTAAGAAATAAAGTGGCTTTTTCTCCCAGTGGATTCTACAATTCCTTCTTGTTGTACATAACCCTGGTTATTTGACCCTGGCCTTGGTTGACACCTGCAACCCGAAGCTGACACAGAGTTCTCTATCACCTGAGACTGCAGGTGCATTCCTTTCTCCCATTCCCCTGCCCAGGCTCCAGGGATCCCCTGAGGTTTGGCTCTGGCTAGAGTCAGCTGGAGTTGCCACCAAGCCTTTAACTCTCATTTCCCCACGATAACCAGAAGATGGCGCCTGCATTTCATACTTAAACATAGACTAACTTAAAAAGTCTTGAACGGGTCAGTACTTTTGTGGCCCTCACATGAACCGTTGTGTGTTCCAGGTCTTTGTCTCTGAGAGCAGACTGGATTTGGGGCCCTTCAATCTCAGGCCACAACATCTTGTCACGTAGGTGACAGGATGTAGCAATCACATTAGGAACGTTTCTTACCCCACCACCCAGATGCTTCTGCTTCACACACTACAACCTTCTATTTTATCAAACACTTATTTAGTGCTTAACTACGTCCCCTGTGGGATCCCTTATCACGTCCTGCATGGTTCAGGGTTCCTCTTCAGGGTTCCGTGTTCTGGAGAAGGCCACACACAAATGAAATGAGACTGGAAAAGAGTTAATTTGAAAAAAATGGAGGGCCAGGCGGGAGTCCGCCTCTAGGGGGAGAACTACCACTGCTCTGGCCTTTGCTATCCCTTTTTATTGAGGCTATGGGAAACACCCATATCCTTTTGGCAGGAAATTCCAATAATAGACAGTCAGCAAGAATTTACATATGATTCACAGGTGGAGGTTGCTTAAACTACCGAAGTCTTAACCAAACAATGAGTTAATAGCGCCGACCATTCAGAGCGATTAAGGTTGGCCAGCCTTCCAGATTCCCTTTTCACATTTAACTACTAGTGACAATATTCAGTTTCCTGCAGTCCCCAACATATTTCTAACCACTTTACATGCATTTAATTCTCAAAATGATATGAAGAATAGGGAGAGAAACTGAGGCAAAGGAAAATTGAATAAGTTAATGTCAAATTGAGGTTATTATGTTGTCAGGAGTCCCAGATAAAAAGTACCCGGTACTTCCATAATATATGATATATAATATATATGTTATATAGTAACATATACTGTATTATATATCATATATTATTATGTTGTCTATTAAACATAATGGTGGTCTATTATGGTGGTCTATTAAATCATAATCAGTGATGATATAAAAATATAAATCAGTTTATGAGATGTGTTTTTGTCCATGGACAACTATAGCATCCACTGAGTGAAGGAAGAAACATGGACTGTTTCTAGTTGTCATGACGAGCGGGAAATAAAGAGAAGAGGGACAAAATGCTGCCACAGCCTTGATAGGGTCTCCTAGGAGAAGATTGAGAAGTCATGGTGTGTACCTAAAGAAGGGAGGGCAGCTTTGAGGGAACAAAGGACAGGAAATGACAACTTCTGTCCCTACAGAAGAGAAAGGGGCCTATTAAGACAATAAACTTCACTTATTTTCAATTTTGGTCTAGAGCAAATTCTTCCTAATAGTCTCTTGTTCCTTAACCAAAATACACCGAGTGGCCAGATTATTATGATCTTTGAATGCATCAGAATTATATATTATATAATTATATATTATTATATATGATATATAATATATGTTATATAGTAACATATACTATATGTAACATGTATATATAATATATACTAATATAGGATTATATAGAATAATATATGATATATAATATAGTATATGTTACTATATAACATATATATCATATATTGTATATAATTATATTATATATATATACATGTGTGTGTGTGTGTGTGTGTGTGTGTGTGTGTGTATAATATATATTTTAGAGGCCTAGTGCATAAATTTGTGCATGGGTGGGGTCTGGCCAGCCTGGCCAGGGGGAGGGGACATGGGCGATTGGCTAGCCTGCATGCTGGTCGAATTCCTGGTCCAGGGGACAATTTGCATATTAGCCTTTTATTATATAGGATATACACTAAGTGGCTAGATTTTTATGCGTTCAGAGATCATAATAATTTGGCCACTCAGTGTATAAGCCTTAGTATGTGCCTTCCTTAAACCATTTTCAACATATGGAGTATGCAGCGAGCTATTTTTACCAGGATGCAAAACTATAGTGACACTTCATAGCTCCCTCCTCTCTATCCCCCATGGTATTTTACACTTACTACTACTATAGAAAATATCACATTAAATTCTCATCATTGCCGAAACCGGTTTGGCTCAGTGGATAGAGCATCAGCCTGTGGACTGAAGGTTCCCAGGTTCAATTCCAGTCAAGGGCGTGTACCTTGGTTGCGGGCACATCCCCAGTGGGGGGTATGCAGGAGGGGGCTGATCGATGTTTCTCTCTCATCGATGTTTCTATCTCTCTCTCTCTCTCTTCCTCTCTATTATAAAATCAATAAAATATATTAAAAAAATAAATTGTCATCATTGTTTATGTCACTAGATTATGTGCTTCTTTGGCAAAATATTCTATTGCATAGAAAGCCCTCAAATTATAAAATGAGTCTGACAATGTTTTTTTTGTGAAACACTGAGTAAGCAATTGTCTATTAAGAAGGCACACATATAGCTGGAATGACTGGAAAAGGCAAACTTTGACCCCTATTCATACCATATATGAAAATTAACCTGAGACAGATCTCAGAGATGTAAACATAAAGGCTAAAACCATAAGTTTTTAGGAGAAAACGAAAATACCTTTGTGACTTGGGAATAGGCAAAAGTTTCTTAGATTGGTCACAGAAACCATTAAAAAAGTTGATGTTAGACTTCATCCACATTAAAGAATTCAGCTCACTAAAATATTCCAGTAAAATAATCAATAGGCAAGTTCAGGTAGGGATAATATCAAAAAAATATATCTGACAAAAGACTTATATCCAGAATATATAAATAACTTACAACTTAATAACCAAAGAAAAGAGAAAGAGTAAAAAAAAAATTGGACAAAGGATACACAAATGGCCAATAAGTACATGACAAGCAGCTCAACATCAGTAATGATTAGTAGAAAAATGCCAATTAAAACCCTATGAAGACAATAAACTACTTATTTACACACCTACTAACTGGAAAAAAGTTAAAAAGAGTGATAGCATCAAATTTTGGAGAGAATGAGAAGCAACAGACTCTCATACTTTGTTGATGGAATGTACAATGGAACCACCTCTTTGGGAACAGATCTATAATAGAAGTGTCTTATAAACCTAAATGTAAATCTACTATATAATAGAGCAGTTTCACTCTTTGTTATTTACCCAAGAGATGTGAAAATAAATGTCCACTAAAAGACTTGTATAAGAATGCCCATAGATAAAATTTTATTCATAAAATCCAAAAACTAGAAACAGCCTGTTTATCTGCTGATAGGAAAAAAGGATACAAAAATTACAATATAATCATACAATGGTATACTATGCAGTTAAGTTTTAAAAACTTATACATTCCTCATCATGGATGAATTTCAAAACCATTTGTTGAATGAAAGAGCCTCATACACAAGAATACATGTTGCATGCCTTTTAAGAAATTCTAGAACAGTCAAATTAATCTGTGGTAGAAAAAATATTAATGTAATTGTTGCCTCTAGGAAGACTGGGGAGCAGGGATTGAAGGGAAAAGTACATGCAGGAACTTCCTGGGGTGCTGATAAGGCTCTAAAGTTACCTTGATATGGGTATAGGTTCTGTATATACATTTGTCAAAACTCAACTGGTATACACTTAAGACTTGTGCACTTTTTGCTGGATATACATTTTATGTCAAAAGAAAACTTATACACAAATATGGAACCCTAGTTAATGATATGCAAACTGAGGTGTTTGGGGGATGGGTATAGCTGTTAGCAGTTGGAATTTGTCAAAAATATAAGATAGATTGATGGAAAGATAAGTGACAGATTAATGGGTAGATATGTGATAAGCAAGTATAGTAAAATATTCTAGTAAAACCTAGATGTTGGATATACTTATTGTAAATTTCTTTCAGTGATTTATAATAAAAAGTTTTATGATAAAAAAATAGTTTTTTAAGGTCCTTTTCACATGGATCTTTTTAGGGTTAATATCCCCTTCTAGCACAGAAACCCTGAAAGTACAGTTCTCTAATGGAGTAGACATCACTTTGTCCCTGAAAGAGATATGAAGCTTAAATGGACAAATTCTGGGTGTTCAAGCTTTTATTGGCATACTCTTGTTACATTAGGGGAAAAGTTTTATTTCTATTTTTGGAGGAGTCCTTCTAAACTACTCTCTCTCCTCTCCCCGAAACACTCTCCTCTGTGTAGGAACCTTCCTGTCATCCTGGACTGGGTAAAAACTAAGAAGCCTGGAACCATGGGTGTCAACATCATCACGTCTGACTTCGTGGACCTGGTGGACTTTGCCACAACAGTCATTGAATTGAATGACCTCCTACAGGAGGATAGAGCTTTGGCCAAATGCTGATTCAATTTTTATTTATTTTAATATTGAATCTTTTGATCCAGGCTGGAGTTCTGAAGGGTTTTCTGTTAGGATGGCTCCTGGGCAGTGTTGGTGAAGTGAATAGAAGGAGAAGGAGGGTGTTTTTTCTTTTTCCCCTCCTCACAGGGCCATTCGGATGAAATCCAAGATCTTTTCATTGCATTTTTCCCCATGAGACTTTTGAAAAACTTAAGTCCAAGGGAAAAAAGCATGTTTTATAAGATCGAGGCTAAGATCTCCTCAATGGTTTATGAGGTTGAATGGAATATGGAAATGGAGTCTCCAAGATACATTAGGGTATTGTGTGTCCTCCTACTAGGCCTAGTTCCCTATTGTCTTCCAGGATGTGGTGTTTGAGTTAGTGAGAAAACTGAACCAGAAAAAACATTCCTGGTCAAAAGAATGAGTCATTGCAGGTAGGTGTACACTGCCCTGTGCGGTGGCTTAATATTAAGCTTGGGCTTTGAGGGGAGAAAGGGCCAAGCACCAGTTCTCTCTAGACATGTTGAATGTCACCACTTCATCCCTGAGAGAGTAAGACATTTATCACCAAAGTATTTCAGCTGCAAGCTGTTCTTGCATAGCTTATACTTGATAATCGGTCAACTTTATTCTTCAGATAAACAGTGCAGACTGCCCTTGGTGTTAGAAATGTGTTTCCCAGTTTGAAAGCATTGATTCCTTCTCTTTCTTTTGGCCTCTTCTTAAAAGTGAAAAGTACAAAGACCAGAGATCTTTTCATTGTGGGGCCCAACAATAGACAGACATGCATGTTTGTTGCACGCCAGATTTTTTTAAATTTAATTCTGTAGCTTTTTCCAAAATGGCTGCCAGGTAAGCACCTGCATCATTTGGTCAAAATCCTCTTTGGAGTAGGATCTTCAAGCCAGATCTTGGAATTGCATTTCTTTGTTTTCTGCCTTGGACTCAGGTCTATGCCATGGGACACAACGCTAATGGAAGGTAGCTTCTCTGTGGCACCGTGCTGGCAAACACAAGGATGCATGGAAAGTGCAATGGATTTAAGGAGGACACGCCAGTGGGTTTGGAGCCATTCCGTAACTCCTTGAAAACAAGACTACCTCGGGAGACATTTAGGATGACTTGGGTGTCGTCGAGTGAGAAATACCCAGTGTTGGAACGTTTCCAGTTCGTGTCTTCCTTGTTCTGAGCCTAGTAATCACCACTGCATGAGGGCTTTGAAACTCACAAGGGGATTTTTTTTTTTTTAAATTGATGAGAGGTGCTTATCCACGAAAAGCCCTCTTGTGTTTTATTGTATTTATTTATTTACTTATTTATTTGTAGATTAAGTATCTTCAGTGCTTCTTACCTCATGAGCACTCACCAAGGAGCTTCCTGAACTTTCTCACCCTGGCCCAATGCTGCCATGGTCTTCCTCCTTAGCAGGACCACGCATCTCAGGACTGTGAGTGGCCTGCGACTCTGCTGTCCATGTCCTGGCTCCTCAGTACATGAAGGCAGGCGGGGCTCATGTTTGGGTGTGGTCCAGATCTGAGAAGCCACTCCCAAGCCACGCACTGGGGCAGATGATGAAAAGGGTAGTGAAGAACTCTCAGTTCTTGATGAAGACCTTCCAGAAGAGGGTTGAAAAGAAAGCAGCTAGGAAGAAAACTGAGCATGGGAATGTGTGTACGTCGATGCTCCTAAGAACTGGCGGAGAATCTCTGAGGAATTGTTAGCTTCCGGGTTCTACAGGAGAAAAGATAAGCATGCAATCCTGGGTGGCTGTGTGCATGTGTACAGATCCTTGGCCCACCTCCCAGTAGTTTCCCATTCCTACTTTTCGATGCTCATGGCTGGATTTGCATGCTGCCTGCAGTGGGGGGTATCCTAGAGTTGCTACTAAAAGCACATGCACACCCCCAATTCTTGGTCTTCCAACCTTTACTCCCTGTAAAGGAATTTAAGCCCTGACCTTTAGCTTCCACAGCTCGAGGAGGTCATAACACAAATGCCTCTGGGCATTAACTTTCCTTACATTTGAGCTCCTCTCCAAGGAGGTTTCTGAGATTTTATTGTCAAATTCTTTAGGGCCTCCTATGGAAAGGAGTAAGGAAGTGGGTGCCCTCACTTTCTCAATTTCCCTTCAGTTCTGATATTAAACTCCAGTGATGAGCTCTGAAATCCCTGGCCCACCCTCAGGGTTTTATTTGTTGTTATTGTTTCATTTGCGTCTTGTTTTTAATTCATGATCAATTGCTAGGGACTAGATCAGTTTCCCTCTTCAACCCTTTGTTACTTGGCAAAGAGATAAGGAGGCAAGAGGAGAATTATTCTTCTCTGTTTTATTTGAGCCTCAGCTTTGTCCAGGTGCTTGGTGCTATGAGGCCAGGTGTGTGACAGGTGTCCACACAGGACACCAGTGACACCCAAGGGCTGCTGACTGTTCAGTGAAATGTTTACTTGATTTTTTTCCTTTAGTTTTAAAATATGTAGTTGCACTTGGGCTGTACCGTTTAACTGCACCACAGTGTTTGCATGCTAAGAGAAAAGCCATCGAGCATGACAAAGAGCACAGCCAGCGGTACCAAGGGCGTGTGCACGGAGTCCCGCTATGCATGGCGAGTGTGGGGGCTCGCTCCTTCATGCTGCTGTGGGTAGCAGCCTGACTTGCATTTTGCAATCCTGTGCAGGAGTTCTGGGAGATAGGAGGAGGATTATTTACAGTTCACCCTTGATAAGCACCCTTGAATTAGCATGATATCTGCCCCAAGAAGGGATGTGTGCATTCTGCTCCTTGACAGAAGGCCAAGCAGGAGATTCCCGTGATGGACAGACAGAAAACTGCCACCAATAAAAATGGTGACCCGACCATATCACTTATTCTCTTAAGCTCTGGAGACCTTTCTGATCAGATAAGTTTATCTTATTTACTAGTACCCAGAATTAACTTCAAGGTCAGCTAAAAAAACTACTTGATTGATCCAAAAGAGGGTGTTAGGATACAGGGCCATGGTTATCCTGAAAGGTAGACTGAATTTTTTATGAGCTTCCTGGACCATTTGCCACGTGGCCAAGGGGACCGTTACAGGTTTCAGTTAGGTTAGAATAGAGTTCAGAGGCTTGAACTTGGAGCCTATTAGAGGTGCCACGGTGGTTTCATGGGTACAGAAAATATTCTCAGGTTTGTAGAGAGAAGTCAAGATAGAGCGGGTAAAATGATAAATGGTAGAGAATTAAAATTGTAAATTAATGGCAGATTGTAAAGGGTCATGCCAAAAAATATTATCTACCTGCTTTATCAGACTCTCTAATAATTAAATTTAGTTACTTTCCTTAGTGCTGAGCCCAGACCCCTGTATTCTTGAGAATCAACAAGTTACAGTTTGAAGCAGAATTTTCTATAAACTCAAAAGAAAAGCACAAGGTCCCAGTAATGATCGATCTTCAGAATCCTAGTTTTTTTTTCATCTCCTCATCTTCACAGTTTGTGTTTCTGTTCAAGAAGACCACATGGTGGAACACTCCAGAGTTAAATGCAGTTTTGTGGTGAAACAGCATTTCCTATTTCTGTTTTTCTGAATCTTAACATAAGAGAGTGCTCCCCATCGAGACATTGTGGCAACCCAACTCGAAGGCTTAATACCAAGCTAAAGGTGGAGAAGAAGGGATGAAGACTGCAATGAAGCCACCTGTTTTCCTGGGAAGCAAAAGGGCTGCACAAATCCAGACCATCTGATAGAGTTCGTTTATGTCACAGTTGAAGTTTTGTCGCGTTCTTCATTGGCTGACGGCAGATGTTCACTGTTAGGTTCTGGGAAACAGAACGGGCTAATGAATGGGGCACAGGCATGCGGCCCCCTCCACAGCCTGAGCAAGGAAGTGATCCTGTGCTAAATCTGCCCTGTTCTTTCCTCTGGAATAACAATGCCATCTGCTTACTTTAGTGCTGTTTTTGCAAATCTTGGTCAAGCAACTCCCCAAAACATCAGGTCTAATGATGGGGTTAAATGCTATATATTGAGCAGGTGTACAGTTGTGATTCTTTGTGTGCATATATGGAGAAATGCTACTGGGGTTCATTCCTCAAAGGCGCCACTGTTAGATGGAAATTGTCTGACAGCAGTGCCTGTAAGGTTGTGAGCAGTGAGATGAGCTGGGCGGATGTGAATGTGAACACCTGAGGGTTGGGCTTTCCCCAGTGCACACCAAGTAGTCACGGCATGCCAGGAGGAGATTAATAGAAATAGTAACACAAACTCCACAGTGACAAGAAAGAAGTTTGGTTTGTATGGCTTAGAACATGGCTGTCCCTCCAAATTCCACTGACTTTCCAGTACGTCTTGGCCCTCTGCCTCAGACTCTTTCCTGCTGTCTGCCTCCATGGCTTTGTCACTCACACACCTTGTCTTGGGACACACAGGAGTGAATTGGTTGGGTGATAAGTGATTTAACTGGAAACTTTACCCTTAATTCCAATCGATACTAAAAAGCTCTTTACTGCCCCAAGATCCCCCAATTTCTTGCTAGAAATAATGATGCTAAGGTCATTCTGTCACTGGCTTGGCCCTAACCCAGAGAACGCAGCACACGATGCCATGGTGTTGAACTAGCACATTCTTAGACACTGGAAGCACTCTGAGATAACCCTTTCTGTCCTGCAGTGGATATAGTGAGTGTCCAGCCTTTTCTCCAACAAAACTTATTCTTAGAGTTTTTCAAATTCATTTTAAGCCACATCATTTGGATGAAATGCTTTTCTTTTTATTGGGAATTCAATCCCATGGTCTATTAAGACAGCTCCATCAATGGTCTAGAGCCATTTTCTATCTCCTTCAAAGAATACCACTTTCTCCTCTTGTTTCCTGGCCATCCTCTGTCATCCGCTGATTACTGTGAATCACAGGATGCTGGCAAAACTTACAGTAAAAGGCACATACACTCAGTGACGTCCAAACTCACTCTTATCACAGTGGTTTTAGCTCCTTCTTCTTCTCAGATGCATTATCCAGCTCCCCTCCCTGCTCCCAACTGATTACTAGAACTGTCCCTGATTGGACCCCAGAACTTGGGGCCAGTACTTCATTCAGATATCAGGGGCTAGCCCCCAAGCTATGAGCCCAACGAGAAGCACAGTACTTTGAAAAGTCAAATAGGCCTTTGGTAGCTTTGAACATTTGCAGTTTTACATTGGTTTAGTTTATAACACTAATGACACTTTAGTCATAAACCTCTAATACCAATATGATAAATCTTAGTAGATTGTCTAGAGGCAGTGGTACCTTGCTGCTATTATACTTACTAATTTTTACACCAATTCATTATTATATAGATTGTGTGTGCATTATTGTATTGTGTATGCATATATATAGTATATATGCCTACTGTAATACTTAACCTAACTGATCAGCATTTTAAAAATACAGTAGCCCCTCCCCCCTTACCCACAGAGGATATGTTCTAAGATCCCCAGTGGATACCTGAAACCATAGATAGTAATGAACTATATATGCTGAGTTTTTTCCTACACATACATACATTTTGACTTAAAGGAAGCATTTTATAGCTTCTCTTTGGCGTATCAGAATTGCCAGCATGTCTACTCTTACACTTTGGGGGCCATTATTAAGTAAAATAAGGGTTACTTGAACACAAATACTGCGACAGTCAATCTGATAACTTAGGCTACTAAGGGGCTGATAGGTGGTAGCGTGGACAGTATGGAGACACTGGACAAAGGGATGAATCATATCCTGGGCAGGATGGAGCAGGTTGGCCTGAGTTTTCATCACGCTACTTAGAACTGTGCAATTTAAGACTTAGGAAGTGTTTATATCTGGGATTTTACATTTAATTTATTTGGACTGCTGCTGATCATGAGTAACTAAAACCATGGAAAGCAAAACCTCAGATAAGGTTGGACTACTGTACAGATATTGTCAAATTGAAAATAAGTTTGGTCAATTCAGATAATACATGAATCTGAAAATGTTTTATTAGATATTATATTTTGTCCTCTGTGCTTGTTTTATATTACAGTGCATGCCATTAGCTAAATTATGCAAAATAATAATTGTAAATTATACCAATTTTAAGGTTAGAATTAAAATTTTACATATATGCTGCTTGATACTAGGAAATGTATTTTGTGGCATAATTATCTTATTCATACACATTTCACATGGCTTTTCTTCCCTAAGAAATAATTGTTTAAATATCTCCTTCTCCTGTCTTGTAAACTGAATTATAACTGCTTAATTCAAACTAAAATATTGTAAAGCCAGATTACCTCATTTTAACTGTGAAAAAGTTCAATCAATATGCTGATATGATGTCTTTCCTTTGTATTTAACTTGAACTACCTAAATAAGCTTGAACCTAATAATAAATATAAAACTGGAGCAGGCACTTCTCCTTTGATGTATGCACATTGGATTATCGGCCATATAAATACTTAAAAGTAACTACGAGTCTTAGTAGTAGGGGTGGGGAACTTCACACCCACCCCTGCCAAATATCACCCAACACAATACCTTCCACATGGTTGATTGCATTTAATTGGTGAATGATTTAGCAAAAATTAAGCATAGTCGTGTGAAACAAAGTAGATAAATTCAGAGGGTGAAAGAGAAAGTTGCACAATCACTGTTGCATTGCTCAGAGAGTGGGATCCATGGCAAGATGATGTGGGGTGGAAGATGGCCCTGTCCTTGCATAGCATTAATATCATGGGTCACTCACTCATTCTGGTTACCTAACAGCATGCCTTAGCTTAGTGATGAAACCTTTCTAGCCCTTGTTTATGTAGCAAATACAAAGAAGACAATAGTATCCAACTACATTTATTATATTATTTGTATTTTGTTTATTTTGTGGTTACCGTCTCTTTGTAGAAGTGGCCCTGGGTTTGTCAATAGAGCTATAAAATTTCCTTTCTAAGTAAACTTGAGTTTTTCAAAGAGTCTATTCTACAGAAGCTATGGAAGTGACCTAAGTGTAGGATCCTTTCCAAGCTGGAAAAAAAAAAAAAAATGTAGTTGATTCTACTGCACACTTTTGCCAAGAATTGGATTTGGCTGTGCTCTTTAACTAAATACATGAACTGCTATTTGGGATAGAATGTCACCTATTTCTTCATAAGAACATTCTTCATGTTTCCTGTGGAAGTCCACACTCAAATCATCCTCTCTCCATAGCGTCCTATGCTGGGTTTTAACAGGGGAGGGAAAAGCTGTTGAGTCGCTCAATCTCATAGACTGTTTTCGAGGTTCCCATGGAATACAGAGAGCAAACCCTGTTTCTTCCACTTGGAAAGTGATTCCTTTTCTGTGAATCCCTGAGGGGAAGATGCCTGAATATTCTGGATTTTTTGTTGTTGTTGCTCCCCCCCGCCGCAAAGGAATTCTTCTTACTCAGTGGTATGTCTCTTTGTTTACACCTCCCGCATATCTGCTCACTGTGACCAGAGGAGTGATATTATTTTAAGACATGAAACCTTTCCTTCTCAGAGAGGGACAGTGGCCGAAGTCCATGTGCCTCAGCCTCACCCAGGATGGCCTGGACGAGTGCCAATAAAACAGACATGCTGGTCAGACCAGAGTGTTTGCACAGCTGTGTAGTGTTTGGGGATAGCATGGGGCTGGGGAGGCAGTAGTGTTAGCCTCTGTCCAGCAGTATCATGCAATCCAAAGAAGCCTTAGGCAAGCAGATGGCTTTAATCTAAGGGTCCCGATGTCTAATGAATAGAACCCTATTCATTTTATGGAGAAAAGCTCTAAGAAGCAGAGCTCTTGTTGGGAAAAGAGGCCACTGAAAGCTGTTCTTTGTTTAACCTGAGAACTTCTCTGCTTTTTGGCCTGAATACTCTCCTGCCCTGATCCTCACTGGGTATTTGCTCAATCCAGGTTCAGGGAGTCATCTCTAGGCCTCCATGAATTATAAGGGGATCTAGACAAAGACATTGGATTGCCTTTTGCAAAAGCTTCTTTCACCAACAAACTTGTGGGTGTAAAACTAATTTGCCACACATCATAAGTGTTAGTGGACCATTTCAGGGTGATCAGAATGCCCTGAAATAACACACAAAATTTTAGATATATGTGCACTTTTTTTTTCTGGTTGAGGATCCATAAACTTCATTTGATTCTCAAAAAAAAATCTATGATCTTTGAAAGTTGCAAACCACTGTCTCTCAAGTGCCTGTGAGAATGACCATTCAAATGTTGGTACATGAGCTAATTTAGACTAGCACCAGAAAGCCATGGTCCTTCTTGTTACAAGCAAACATTAAATTAAGACATTTATTTATTGACTATAGAGCTCTCTTTTAAGAGGCAAGGTTGGATAGAATAAGATAAAAGGGAACTGACTCAAGTCCAAAGAATCCTAAAGGATCATGATAAGGGCTCAAGCAAGAGAGGGTGGTAGCAGAGCCAGAGAAACCGGGCACGCTGGCAGCCACGGAGGAATGGCCAGGTCCTATGCACAGATTGCAGACGAAATGGATACATTGGAGCCTTCTTCCAGAAGGGCAACTAGGAGAATGAAAGGTCCAGAAGTTATATCACATGAGAAACTGGAGATGTTGAACTTGCAAAAGATTGAGAGAAAAGTGACAGGGATATCTTAAATATTTTCAAATTGTTACATGACTGAGATTTTAGAATCTTATGATTTTAAATATATTATAGAAAGGACCAAAGAACATTTGTCCAGGTACTTTTATAGCAGAGAAAACGGAAAGCCAGACCATGTGGCCTAATGCAGTCTGTTCCCAGTGTTTTTTCTCATCATTTCCAGCTGTTTCCCAAGTGCCTGATGTGTAGGGAAGAGCTAGAACCCACGAGTTGCCATTACAAAAAGGGAATCTTGGTTTAATAAAGAGTATTCTTATGTGGAATGGATGCTAAGTGAGAGAGTGAGCTCACCATCACAAAGAGTATTTCTGGGAGTGTGTGTATCAGTTTGCTGTTGCTAATATAACAAATTATCACAAATTTTGTGACTTACAATAACACAAATGTATTACCTTTCAAATCTTGGGTCAGAAGTCTACAAGGGGCTGGCAGAACTATCTTCCTCCTGGAGGCTTTAGAAGAAAATCCATTTCCTTGCCTCTTCAAGTTCTAGAAGCTGCCTTCCTTGGCTCGTGGTCCCTTCCTCCATCATTAAAGCCAGCAATATAACATCGTCAATTTCCCTCTGACTCTGATTCTCTTATCACATCTTCATTGATTCTGACCTCTTAAGAGGCCTTTTAGTATACTCTGGGCCCACCTAGATAATCCAGGATAGTCTCCCATCTCAAAATCCTTAATCACATTTGCAAAGTCCCTTTTATGATGTAAGATGACATCTCATGTTTTAGGGATTAGGACATGGACATCTTTGGTGGCTTTTATACAGCCAACCACAGCGTGAATCATAGAAAGTGCTTTGACACTGATTTTCAAGCAGACTTGAGTTCAAATCCTGGCTTCAGCACTCATTTCATGACCATTATCCATTTGAGCCTCTGTTCCCTTAACCATAAAATAGGAATAAAATTTCAAGATAATTATGACAGTTGGTGGTAATCCATATAAAATACCTAACATATATAGTGCCCTATCGATAAATGACAGCCATATTTGCTCAAGGAACTTCCAGATGATTCTCATCTGATAGGAATTCAATAGAAGAAACTCCATTATTAAATGAGAGATTTGATAAAGTGACCTCCAAATTCCCTTCTGATATTGCTAACATTATAAGGAGTGAAATAGCCCAGCCAGTGTGGCTCAGTGGTTGATGAACTAGGAGATAACAGTTTGATCCCCAGTGTGAGGCATGCAGGAGGCAGCTGATCAATGATTCTCTCTCATCATTGATGTTACTATCTCTCTCTCCCTCATTCTTCCTTTTTGTAATCAATAAAAATATATTTTTTTTAAAAAGGAGTGAAATAAGAGGTATTTTCTTCCTGTATACTTCACAGATCCAATTGCAAGGAAATTGCTTTTCTGGACAGTCCATAGCCAACAGACCCTCCCACCGTCCTGCTATCTATTTTTGTCACCAGAATCTCTGGTCAGGTCTGAGCAGGACTGAGCCCGGCCTTGTGTGTAATGATTGGCTAGACCAGGCAGCTGAGACCAGCACGGCCTCCCTCCTTCACATCTGTCAACATACCTGGCTGCAAGCAAGTTCCAGCCCGTGACCACTGTCTGCAGGAGCCAGAGAGATTCGGAAAGGAAACAGAACACCTCAATTTTTTGGAAAAGTGGAAGCCCCATGAAGACGCTTCTTCTCAACATCTGAACCTCTTCAGCAAGAGGATTGGATCAATCGTGGGCGTCACCGCAAAGTCAAGAAGGAAGCTGAGAAAAGGCTAATTTAATTCCGCAATCAAGGTAAGTGATCTGTGGTCACAGCCCCTTCTCTCAAGATCACAGCACAAGCATTTTGCCCAGCCTTGTAGCCAGAGCGTCTGATGATAGTCCGCTGAGGTTGAGGTGGTAGATGTGGGGGAGTGTCCGAAGAATTCGGTCATTTGTTCAATCGCATGTCCTGGAAGTGGGTTGTAGTTATCATCCATCTTCTCTCTTCTTTGAAAATTGTCCCTCTATGAAATTTTTTTTTTTGGAACTTTGGAAAGTTTTTTATCGTTCTTTATTTTAAAAAGCATTTTCTTTTGTTGTTGTTTATTGAAATTCATCATTAGTTCTGCAAACGTGGTTTTGTTCCAGAATTTTGCTAGTATGAATTCTTTCCAATTTCAATATATACCAGAAAAGACAGTTTATACATAATTCTGAGAAACAAGCTGTTCCTGCACAGGGCTGTCAACCTCAGGTGATAGGATCTCCCGGGAAGGTATGTGCATTTTTCTGCTTTGGAGCCTAGGGAGTTAAAATCCTGGAGCTGAATCAAGCCTGTTTGCCTAAGCTTATCACCAGGGCAGCTGGGTCAATCATTTACTGACTCAGGCTGTTTCCTACCTTTGATGGAGGACCACTAAGGCCTTGCCTGACAGTCGCTGTAGAACAGACACAAGGCAGCATTGATTGAAGATGCCCTTCTCTGATGCTATAGCTCCTATTCTTCTCTGGCCAGAGCACAGTTTTATCTGAGGAGCAGTAAACGCCACAGGGCCCTTCCCATCTCCACCATAAACAAACGTGAATGAGTGAGACGCTTGCACAAATCAGATACTTCCTATCATCTCAGGCATAAGAGCTGTGGCTTTGGAGCGCTTCCCCTTGGAAGTCAATGGGAAGAACCAGACTAACTGTCGGATAAGTTACTAATTAATTTTTGAAGAAGAGAAAGATTAAGTAATCATTTAAAAAATGAACTTTCCCCTGGTCTATACTTTCTGGAAATATGTTATTTTTTAAAGGACATGGTCCACTCTTCTTAGGTCTGCA